AAAGAGATAGCAGATGAATTGAACAGATATTTTGCATCAGTTTTCACTAGACAGGATACAAGTAATATCCCAAAATAGTTGAAAATCAGGAATTGAAAGTGGGGGAGCAAGTCAAGAAAATTACAATTATCACAGAAATAGTACTGAATAAATTGTTGGAACTGTGAGTTGACAAGCCCTGAGGTGCTGATGAATTGCATCCTAGAAGTGTCTTAAATGAAGAGGCCAATGAAATAGTTATGCATTGATTTTAATTTTCCAAAACTCATTAGACTAAGGGAAGGTTGCTTTAGATTGGAGAAGAGGTAATCTAACTCTTTTATTCAAAAAGGGATGGAGACAGAAAGCAAGAAACTACAGGTCAGTTAGCTTAACATCTGTCTTTGGGAAAATGTTGGAAACTACTATTAAAGTTGTTATAACAGGGCATTTGGATAAGGTCAAGCAATCAGGCACAGCCTGATTTTGTCAAAGGGAAATCATTTTTAACTAATTTATTGGAGTTCTTTAAAGAGTAACTTGTGCTGTCAATAAGGGGCAACCAGTGGATGTATTGTACATAAGATTTTCAGAAGACATTCGATCAGATGCCACCACAAAGGGTACTATGGAAAATAGCAGCTCATGGTGTAGGAGGTAATATATTGGCATGGACAGAAGGTTGGTTCGCTAACACCAAGGAGACAGTAGGAATAAGTAGGTCATTTTCAGGCTGGCAGGATGCCACACGTGGTGTGCCACTGGGATCCCTGCTTGGAACCTCCACTCTTTATAATTTATGCAAATGATTTGAATGAAGAAATCTGTACAGCAGAGAATTGCAGGCAAAATAGCTAAATTTGCTGATGACAAAGATAGTAGGTAAAGGAGCTGTAAAGAGGACATACGGAACCTATAAAAGGTTAAGCAATAGGTTAAATGAGTGGGCAAAGATTGGCAAATAACTTGGAAAAATATGCAATTGTCTATTTTGGCAGAAAAGATTTATAAAAGCACACTATCTAAATGATGAGAGGTTGCAGAGCTCTAAGATGTAGAGAGATCTGTCTGTCCTAGTGTATGAATCACAGAACGTTGTATGCACATAGAGCAAATAATCAAGAAAGCTAATGAAATATTATGGTTTATTGCAAGAGGCACTGAATGCAAGAATATGGAGGTTATGCTTCAGTTATATCCGAAGTACTGCGTACAGTACTGGTGACCATAAGTATGTTAACGCATTGGAAGCAGTTCAGAGAAGGTTTACTGGACTAATACCTGGAATATGTGGATGGCCTTATGAATAAGGTTGGACAGGCTAGGCCAGTATCCTCTGAAGTTTAGAAGAATCAGAGGTAATTTAATTGAAACATGGATTCTTAGGGGATTTGACTGGGTGGATATTGAAAACATATTTCATCTTGTGGAGGAATCTAGAATTAGGGTTCATAGGTTAACCACAAGGGGGCACCGATTAAAACATAGATGAGGAAATACTTTTTCTCTCAGTGTTGAGAGTCTTTGGAATTCCCTTCCTCAAAAGGCAGTGGATGAGGAATCTTTAAATATTCCCAGTAGATAGATTTTTTATTACCAGGGGATAAAAGATTATTGGGAATATGTAGGAATGTAGAGTTGAGGTTAAAATCAAATTAGCTATGATCTTATTGTATGGCAAGCAGGCTTAAACAGCCGACTGGCCTACTCTTGTTCCTTCTTTGGATATTTGCATGTAGATCAGGGCAAAATTGAATCTATTAATCCTGTTTGTTAGCTAACGAGCAGGTTCAAATCGAGCAGATTTGCTTGCTGGAATGAAATACCTCAGATAAGAACTAGCAGAGTCAAGTCAATACAACAAGATTCATTGATGGACACATGACTGTCTGTTGTGGTTGTTGGCTCACCGATCTGGTTTGTTGTTCCGCAGACATTTCATTACCCTGCTGGGTAACATCATCAGTGCAGCCTCTGATGAAGCACCGTTGTGTTTTCCCGCCTGGTTTTTAAACTCTGGAGTCCGTTGAGCTGGATTACCTCACTTCCGGTTTTCCTTCATAGTGGAGTGTATATGGGGTCGAGGTCTATGTGTTTGTTGATGGCTTTCTTTGTGGAGTACCAGGCTTCTAGGAATTCCCGGGCCTGTCTCTGCTTTGCTTGTCTCAGGATCTTGGTGTTGTCCCAGTCGAATTGGTGGTTCTCCTTATCCATGTGGATAGAGATGAGTGAGTATTGGGCATGTCTTTTTATAGCCAATTGGTGTTAGTGTACCCTTGTTGTTAATTTCCTTCCTGTTTGTCACAGTCTCTGCAGGGAATCTTATAGATGACACTGGTCCTGTCCACAGTGAGAAGTGGGTCTCTGGTTTGGGTGAGCAGTTGTCGTAGGGCTGATGTGGGTTTGTGTGTCACTCTGATGCCCAGCAATCGTAGGAGTCTTGTGGTTAGTTCCGATGTGTTCCTGATGTAAGGTAGCATGATGAGTGTGTTGGAGCATGTAGTATCTTCCCGGTGTTGCTCGAGTAGGCATCGTTTGACCCAGTTTTTTGGATATCCATTATCTTTGAAAACCTGGAAGAGGTATTCTTCTTCTCGGCCGCAGAACAGCAGAACACAATGGCCGCAAGATGGTAAAGGTGATGATAAACGACGCACACAACCAGCTCCACAGATATAAAAGAGAAATTATGCGTCAAAAGACTTTATTCCTGGAAGCTACCAATCAGGACTGGACAACGGACATGGAACAAGCCATCAACATCAGCCAACAGACCACACGGGCCAAGAAAAGACAGACCCTTCAGTCCAAGCTAGCCACACTTACCCACCAAAACGACAACAACAGAGCAGACACCTGGATAAGAAACCTCTCCGACAGGAAACTGACAAACACAGAAAAAAGCCGTTCTCACCCGAGGACTTAACTATAACTACAGAGACACCAACAAAACGGAACTCCTAGCCACACTGGAAGCCACACTGAGGACCAACAACATCAACGAAGAAACATAACAAACCATAAGACAGACAGTAATCCCAACACTGACCAGAAAGGACGAACTCAATACCCTCAACACATTGGAAAGGCAAGCCCTAGAAGGACTGAAGAAGGACAAGAACATCACAAAACTACCCGCAGACAAAGGGCGCATGACAGTAATACTAAATAAAAGGGACTACATCTCCAAGGCACAGGCACTGCTAGCTGACGAGAACACATACCAGCCAGTACAGACTGACCCGACACTGCAACTAGGCAACAAAATATTCTACTCGCTAAAAAGACTCAAACAGACAGCACAGATCAACAAAACAGACTTCTTAAGAATGAAACCCAAAGGAACCAACACACCCCGATTCTATGGTCTCCCGAAAGTACACAAACCGGAAGTACCCCTTAGAACCATGGTCTCCCTTCCAGGCACGCCATCACACAGATTAGTCAAGGAACTACAAAGGAGACTAAGGCACCTCGTCAACAAGTCATCCTACTCAATCCATTCAGCCCAAGAATTCCTCAACTGTATCAAAGATATAAGGATAGATGACGAGGAGCCAATGATATCATTTGATGTCACTGTCCTATTCACATCAATAGACATACCACTAGCAAGGGAAACAATGACAGCACTACTAGAACAAGAACAAGACCCAGTGAAACCATCTCCACAGACAACATGCTAAAGCTACTGGGCCTATGCCTCACCACCCACTTCACTTTCAACGGCCAAACATACGAACAGATCAACAGGACACCCATGGGATCACCTATCACCGGACTTACAGCTGAGGCAGTGATGCAAAGTCTGGAAAGGACAGTTCTTCCGCAAATCCAACCAAAACTATGGATACACTACGTGGACGACACCTTTGTCATCATTAAACAGACCAAACTAGAGGAGACACACAAACTAAAAAACAACACCCTCACCGGAATCAAATTCACCAGAGAGGAGAAGACCAAACAGCTCCCATTCCTGGACGTCATGATAGAACGCAAGACAAATGAGGAACTCCAAACGGAAGTACAAGAAAAGCCACACACACTGACCAGGTATCGAATTTCAATAGTAATCATCCTAACACACACAAATGAAGCTGCATGCGAACACTATTTAAACGGACAACAACACACTGCAGTAGCACAGAACTATGCTGAGAAGAAGAAGAATACCTCTTCCGGGTTTTCAAAGATAGCGGATATCCAAAAAACTGGGTCAGAAGATGCCTACACGAACAACACCAGGAAGATACTACATGCTCCGACACACTTATCACGCTACCTTACATCAGGAACACATCGGAACTAACCACAAGACTCCTATGACTGCTGGGCATCAGAGTGGCACACAAACCCACATCAACCCTATGACAACTGCTCACCCGAACCAAAGACCCACTTCCCATTATGGACAGGACCAGTGTCATCTATAAGATTCCCTGCAGAGACTGTGACAAACACTACATCGGACAAACAGGAAGGAAATTAATGACAAGGGTACACTAACACCAACTGGCTACAGAAAGACACGCCCAATACTCACTCATCTCTATTCACATGGATAAGGAGAACCACCAATTCGACTGGGACAATACCAAGATCCTGGGACAAGCAAAGCAGAGACAGGCATGGGAATTCCTAGAAGCCTGGTACTCCACGAAGAAAGCCATCAAAAAACGCATAGATCTCGACCCCATATACACTCCACTATGAAGGAAAACCGGAAGTGAGGTAATCCAGCTCAACGGACTCCAGAGTTTAAAAACCAGGCAGGAAAACACAATGGTGCTTCATCAGAGGCTGCACTGATGATGTTATCCAGCAGGGTAATGAAATGTCTGCAGAACAACGAACCAGCTCGGTGAGCCAACCCATCACAACATCTACAACCTGAGCTACAAATCTACTCAAAAACCTTACATGACTGTCTGGCTGGGGAGTCAGATACTTAATCTTTGTTAGGCCATCATGTATTTACTTAATCTATAATTATCTTCGCTGGTTTAAAAAAAAAGTACCTCCGTTGTTTCAAAAGACTGGATTTCTCTTGGGAGTTCCACAGCGTGCCTGTTGAAGTAATCCATAGTGATTGTGTTGTTCCAATAACTTAAATTGGTTTCAGGGTTTGATGGTTTCCTTTTTTTTTGCATACAGCATACTGTAAGTAAAACTGCTGTCAACAGAAAGGAGAAGTTCATTTTACATAAGATATTTGAGAAGAAATGGGAATTTTCATTGATCGACTTAAATGAGTTACATAAGATATCACATTTTAAGACATTAACTGTAAGAAACAAATTAAAAGCAACATCGATTAAACATTATCTGGTGGGCAACTAATTCTTTAGTGTACAGGAATGCTAATCTTGTTAAGGTTTCAACACAAACAATAATTCTACACTTTATGCATTTATTACAACACTTTCTCTACATGATTATAATCTTTTTTCAGAAACAGGCCACATTCGCTTCAAGTTTCCAATCTGTTCACATCTTTCTGTTTCACTAAGTCCTCACGTTGAGTGACCATTGAAAGGCACTTCCCACTGTTTTTGAAGAATCTCCATATGGACTACTATTACTCCAAAGAATGATTATGTTGTAGGTTTTAAAGTACTACTATTTTAAAGGTGCATCTTTGATTTCAAACATTTAACTGAGTTTAAAAGTACTTTTCAAAATACAGGTATGCACACACATCCTGGCACCTTTCTGTGCTTTGTTTAAATTATGTCAGGCTCTGCTACTTCCAGAGCTGTTTACAAAGTGTCAACAAAATACAAAGATCTGGCTATTCCAAGGAGTGGCAATCGCATTCAGATTGTCAGTCAGCTTTTATTTTATGCTATTACTGAGCCATTGAACATACAATAGTACAGCACAGGAATAAGCCCTTCGGCCGAGCCTATCTGTGCCGTCCCAGTTCGGATTCAAAACTAATCCCATTGGCCTGCACGTGGTCCATATCTCTGAATTCTCTGCCTGTTCATGTGTCTGTCTAAATGCCTCTTAAACTTTCCTATTGTACCTGCTTCTGTCACCTCCTCTGGTTCTAGGTACCTACTACACTCTGTGTAAAAACCCTTCATACATTTCTAGCCAGAAATCTGATTGTGGCGCCTTCAGAAATGTACAGTGTACATGAAATTCACACATCACCTCCATTATGCAGAATAGTCAGGGAAGCCAAAACATGCCCCCATTTTGCAGTAGTGTGTCGTGTTCTGTCATAGATTCAGCCACACAGTCAGACACTTTGACAGCTGCTGTGAAGGAGTAAATATGATGTAAGCTCTGGGATTTGATTCGTGTGTTTTAATATAACTTATTCTGAATTTGGGTTTTTAGTTTTTAAGTTAGTAACCAATGGAATTTTTGTGAGTTTGAAGTTAATTATTAATTTGAAAGTATTTCTGTAACAATGGTGATTTCTTTTAAAACAGTTTTTTTTTAGGAGTGGCTTGAGAGTGAATGGATTTGTGTGCATCATTAATGGACTTTTGTTTAGAATGGGGTTTCAGGTTGATTCTTCTGGAACTTGTTTCTTTTTAAGTTTAAAGGCATAGCTTATCGAGTTTTTGAAAAGTCATAAGGAAATTAGAGAATGAGTTAGCAAAAGAAAAGCTTAGACTAAAGACTATGTCATACAATGACGCTGATTTCAATGAGAGATTTAACCAAAAATCTAAAAAGAATCTTAGTGCCTAGATTTAATGAGGATGGAGTTGAAAGGTATTTTCCGTTATTTAAGAAGGCATCTGAACAGGCAAAGAGACGAAAGGAGGTTTGTATCTTAATGTTACAAAGTATTTTGACATGTACAACTAGGACTGTTTACGCCAGTAGACAGAATAACAATCTGCAGTGTATGAAACTTGCAAACAGGAAATACTTAATGCTTATGAGTTTATGCTTGAAACTTATCAATTGAAATTTAAAATTACAAGAAAGAAGGTGAAGTATAATGAGGAAAATTAAGTTCTCCACTCTGGTAGCAAAAGCAGGAAGGCATATTATTTGAGTGGTGATAGGTTGGAAAAGAGGGAGGTGTAATTAGACCTGGATGTCCTTGTACATCAGTTGCTGAAAGTAAGCAGGTGCAGCAGGTGGTGAAGAAGGCAAATGGTATTGTTATGGAGTTGGGTAGAGTATTCATGAATTGGAAGGCAGGAAGTTAGAATTTGTTGGAAAAATGATTATGGGGAAAAGAGTGCTATGGTCCCTTTATCTTGTGCTTTATGTGTGCTTGGAAGTTTATAAATGCACGTGCATAAAGAATGTCTGAACAGAAACATTTTGTATAGAACAGCCAAGCAGTGTTTTTTTCCAAGACAACAAGATTGAATTTGGCTAATTAATTAAAATGAAGTGCCTAGATACAGAAAGCCAATTGAATTTAAATCTGATGATGTTGACAACCTGAAACCAATCATGTGATAAGAATTTGATTATGTCATTATGGGTATGCAAGACGAGGGCATTTAGAAAATTGGGGAGAGCCAAATGCCATCTGAAAGAGAGACAACTGCCTCCTGCCAGAGTTAGCACCATTCAGCTCTCAGAGAAAGCCCATTTAATTAATCAAAGGTACCACAGCATGTTAGGTAAAATGCCTTATTGCAGAAACTATAGAGACAAAACATCCCTGACAGCAGAAGTAACAGAAGAAAGGCATTTGTGAAGACAGCAGAGACAACAGAATATTCCAGAAGACAATCTGTGCAAACTTGGGCAGATTAAGTTATAATTCATTGTTCTCTTATTAAGTGAGTTTATTAAGTGGGACTTGTGTTTATTTGAACAGTATTCCAGTAGAATTTAGAACAGTTAGGGAGTAGGTAATAGTCTGAGGGGGAATTTTTGGTTTGTTAGTAATTTTGTTAATTTGTTCATTGTTGGGTTAAATAATTAAATTGTCACTTGTAAATCAGGGATTTTTTCTTTTAACCAGTCTTTTAATAGATTACGAGGGGAATGGCGAGCTTCTCTGGGTGTTTCAGGAGTAATTATTAGAGGGGAACCCCTACTCCTGACATAACAGATTGGGGCTTGTCGTTTAACTATCAGAGAGGTTTGGCCATTCCCCCATCGTAACAAAAATTGGGGACTTGTCTGGGATCTGAATGGATTTGGACAGATCGAGTCTGGGATCTGGACGGTTTGAAATCGGGATCTGAATGGATTTGGACAGATTTACACAGATTTAGGGATTAGTGACCTAAATCTTTGAATTAAACATAGGGAAAAAAATCTGTTTAATTACAGTTACGTGTGGTAGGCTAAATTAAAAGTGAGGGAAATAGCTCTTAACTTTCTTAAAGAGGTTCTGAAGTTTGAAGATGCTTCCCAAACTTTGTCAAGTAAATTTAGAAAGACAGAGGAAGGATATAATATTGGAATTAGCAAACAGATTAGAATTAGCTTAGCTCGGGATAAAAGGAAAGCTGAAATTGTTAAAGGAAGGATATAATATTAGAATTAGCAAACAGATTAGAATTAGCCTAACTCGGGATAAAAGGAAAGCTGAAATTGTAATGGAGTTAGTCAAGCACTTGGGTATAACAGAGAAGCAGGCAAGTGTAGTGGAGTTGGAAAAACGTAGTTTGCAAATGAGACAACTGGAGTTAGAGAATGAAAGGAAGGCGAGAGAGTTTGAATTACAGTCACAAACAGAGGAAAGAGAAAGAGAAAGAGAGAGAGAGAAGAGAGGGACAGAGAAACAGAGAGAGAAGAAAGGGAAAGAATGTTCAAGTCGGAAAAGATGAAGTTGGAACTTGAAGCCAAAAGACTTCAAATGGCAGACAGAAGTGAGGATGAGCAAATTCATTGTAGCCAACAGCCTAGTAGGGATATATACAAATATGTCAAAACATTACCAAAATTCAATGAAAAAGGACGTGGAAGCCTTCTTCATTTCCTTTGAGAAATTGACTAAACAGATGAACTGATCAGAGGATATATGTGGGTAATGTTAATTCAGATCAAGTTGGTAGGCAGGGCTAGTGACGTGTTTGCAGTGCTTATGCAAAGGCTAAACAGGTTATTTTGAGTGTCTACACAGTGGTACCAGAAGCGTATAGACAGTGGTTCAGAAACATAAAGAAGGAAGCAGGTCAGAGTTATGTCGAGTTTGAAAGAATTAAACAGATCGACTTCGATAGATGGGTGAGAGCATTAAAGATAGAAAAGACATATGAGGATCTTAGAGAGATTATTCTGCTGGAGAAGTTTAAAAACTCACTTCCAGAAATGATAAGAATTCAAAGTGAACAGAAAGTTGCCAAAATAAGAAGAGCTGCAGAGATGGCGGATGAATATGCATTAGTGCATAAATCGAAATTTAGCTGCCAACAGTAATTTCATTCCGTGAGCAATAGAAATTGGGAAAAAGGGAGATCTTTCAATGAAAAGCAAAAAGTAGATCACACTGGGAACAGTTTACCACAGGTGGTAAAAGAAACCCAAGAGGGTGAAAAGGAGCTGAAAGGCCTCAGGTGTTTTCATTGTAATGCAATGGGACACACAAAGTCACAGTGTCGGTGGTTTAAGAAAGGCACTGGGAAAAAGGATGTTGTAAAAGGTGCTAAACCAGTGGGATTAGTTGAGCTAGTGAAGGAAATCCCAAAAGGAGTTGGGCAGCTGCAGGAGAGTGCACAGCCTTAGTTACAGGCTTGATAGTGAGATAATGCCCAATCTGTACAAAGATTCACCTCTGTGGGTAAGGTTTACATAGTAAGAACAGGGGGAGAAGGTAAAGAAGTTACAATATTGAGAGATACAGGAGCTGGTCAGTCTTTAATAGTAACAGATGAAAGTATTTGCTCTCCTTCTGAAATGTTACCCAAGAGAATGGTAATCTGTAGAACAGATGGACAGAGATTTAGCATTCAACTGTGTAAGATCAGGTTGGAAAGTCCAATCAAGACTGGGGAAGTGAAAGTGGGAGTGATTGAAACAGTGTCAATTCTAGGAAGACATTTGTTTTTGGACACGACCTAGCAGGATCAAAAGTGGGAGTGACACCCCTTGTAGTGGAGAAGCCAAAGGGAGAACCAGGGAACTGAGGAGTTAAAAGAAAAATACCTTGGAAGTTTTCCAGACCATGTGGTGACAAGATCCCACAGTCAAAGGTTAAAGCAAGAGGGGAAATCCAAAGAGAAAGACAAGGAGTTG